AAAAGTCATCACACATACTATGCAAATTTGATACATAATGCAGTAAAGCTAAAAATCATCACACATATTATGGGGATTTGCTACATTTGTTTCTTTACATTGGTGAGATGCAAAACTGCGCGGCGTGTTTCTGAGACTCAGTGGACCATGTAGACGATGAAAGCCATTCAATCCTCCTTGTTCGCGTTCTCTACCTGTGCGTAGTAGTATTCTAACTCCTCCTTGAGACGTTGGGTGAGGCTCGGGGATGCTGAGCCTGTCGATGTGTGTCTGGGTTTTTCGGGAGATGAGATATCGATGACCGAACCAAAGGCTGCACTCGACAACGACTTGAAGACACCCGGTTCGACCTTGACCCTCTTCAAATCGCTCCCTGCGGCTTCATGGGAATGCGTACCGGCATGGCAATCGAGAATGGACGAGCTGCCAAGGTTGTTGCGGAGAATCTCCTGGATGTCCGTTGCTGACTCCCTCTTGCTGGGGCGCGATGGCTCCACGAATGAACTTTTTGAGATTATAGTTGCTCTGTATGGCAAGTTGTCAAAGTCACCCGCCATGACCTTCTCAACCCAAGATGTTTCCCACTCAACCTTCTTCTGGAAGTCCTTTGGCATGTCGGTGCCACCCTTACGGTGGTAGTCGTACACCGGGCGCGATTCGAGATGAAGCAAGTCGGACTTGTCGCCGAAGGGCATGCGGAGGACGGGGGATTCCTTTTCACTGGCTGGACGAACATATAGCGAGCTTTTCGTGTTCAACAGGATGTGAGTGCGCTTTAAGACTGCGAGGACATTCGCCGAGGTTTTCTCCTTTTCATACCAAGCTTTGTCGAGCATGTCCATAAACTCTTTGTGGGAGACATAGGAGATAACACCTTGTCGTTGGGCTAGGATGGGGAGGTCATTGGCGGGCTCCGTTTCCGGCTCAAAGTCATTGACACAATACAACCGTGGTTGTCCCCTAACCCATTTGGCTGCCCCCCAGCGCTCCTTCGACATGCTTTCAATGTTTCCTACATCGGTGAAGGCTTTAACCTTTTTGAAGGGCTGTTCACACAAGCTCCCGTCGTCGAAAATGTCTGGCCGGAACACCTCAGGTAAAGGAATATTGAAGCTTAGATTTGTGGGGTTTTCAACAACGGACGAAGCATCATAACACATATTATGTGGATTTACTACATAATGCCGTACAACTAAAACTACACACACATATTATGCAGATTTGCTACATAAGGCAGTAAAACTAAAA